GCACTTGAGCAGTTGAGCCCATCTGCTCCTGCCAGAGTGGCTCATGAGTGGCCACTCACTCTTAAAGGGCCCTGTCCCAGTAGGGTCTGCAATAGAGTCTCTGAGGGTCCTGGGCAGTGCTGAGGGCCAGCTGCCTCTGGGGTGGGGCATGGGGACTGTTCATACAGGACTCCCTCACCCGGTGCTGAGATGCAGCGGGGGGATACCTGCGTGCACACAGAGCACAGCTCATGCCATGACCACAGCCACACCCACTGCACCCTGGTCTGGACTTAGCTCCTCCAGCAGGGGACCCCACCACCACCACACACACACACACAGAGCCAGGCTCATCCTCTCCAACGGGGCAGCAGACACCAACACCCAGAGAACGCAGGGCTCAGCCCCCTTCAGCAAGGGGCGATAGACTGACACAGCACAGCTGTCCCCTCCAACAGTGGGCAGCAGTGGGGACAGACAGATGGCCTGGCTCATCCCCTCCAGAAGCAGGCAGCACAGCCACACACCCAGACTCTGCTGTGGGTTTGTGTCACTTTATTCACTGTCACGCTCACTCCAGCCAGGCCTGCCCGGGCATGCACCATTTAACCACCAACCCCTTGGCACAGCCTCAGGGAGAGAGGGGTGCCAGGGCAGAATAGATACTTTGGGGGGAGGTTTGAGAGGAAATTAAACTATCCCCCAGCCTCACTCTGCCATGGGGGTCCCAGCCCTGGGGAGGGAGGGGTGAGGCACAGAACCCACAGCATCAAGGTCCTCCAACTATCAGGGATTTAGGGCAGCCCCAGTCACCTCCAAGGGAAGTCCCATCCCCCCCTGCTCATCTGGCACACCTGGGGAAGGCTGCCCCCTGCCCTAGGCTCCCCCTTTGCACAGGTCTGTCAATGTCCCTATCCCAGGCCTGGGCTCAGTCTAACCTCTGGAATCCAATTCCACCCACAGGAGCTGAGATCAGAATCCAGCCCTGACCCCGTAGCCCTCAGTGGGTGACTGGATCTACACCTGGGGAGCCGAGAGCACACACTGGTTTTGCTGTGAAGTGGCTCCCCTTGTTCTAACTCAGCCAGGGCCTGTGTGCCACAAGCACTGGGGTCCCCAGGGTAGGGGAAGGAGGCTCAATTGTTCCCCAGGGGTAACTTAGTTGTTTTTTTCCTGTCTCTGGGCATCCATCCATGCTCCTGGCTGTGCTCTGAGTTCAGAGAGGCGTCCCAGCCGCTGTGCCCGGGGTGCCCTGTGGGGGACACGTCTCCCCACTGCGCATGATGATCACCGGAAAGTAGAGGGCGTCGTGGTAGCAGGGTGGATTCCCCAGGGGCTGCCTCTCTGTCCCGCCCCCACTCAGGCTGCGGAAGATGCTCCGGCCCAGCGAGAAGCGGCTTCGGCTGAAGGGCAGGCGGGCATAGAGGGCCCGGGTGCTGCAAGAGGGGAGCGAGTTGCTGCTCAGCGTACGACGGCAGCGCTGCCAGCCCCGCAGGTAGGCACCGCCTGCCATGGCAGCATCCATCAGCACCGCCTCTGAGTAGCTGGGCACCAGCTGGCGGTTGGAGCAGATGTGCCACTCCAGCTCTGTCATGTCCACCGTGGCCACACGTGGGATGGGGCGCCCGTAGCCAGAGGGCTCCTGGGAGCCGGGCCCATCCTCAGTACCAAAGAGCTTCTCCACGTGGTAGTGCACGTTGGCTGTGCGATACCCGGCTAGCACCCGTAGCGGCCAGGACAGAAGCGCCAGTGAGGCTGCCCAGAAGGCCCAGCGCCGGGCGAACCAGGGAGGGCGCCCTGGCTCAGGGAAGACCATCAGCTGCTCCTGGAAGTTGACATCCTGGAGCCGCATGCCCTCTCGTGCCTCCAGGTAGTCGTCCAGCCCCTCGTTCTGGCCGAAGAAGCGTGCCCGCTGCGCCAGGTAGGCAGCCTCGGCCCGAGCGCTGGCAAAGCTGAAGCACTTGGTGAAGCGCAGGCGCGTGGCCGGATGCTCAGCCAGGCCCAGCAGCTCCTTGGAGACGTCACGCACGCCGTGGGCCGTGTAGTCAAAGTGGCTCTCAGCTACATGGGTGTTGACCCGCTCATGGTACACCTGCGTGGTGGTGTAGGCATC